TACGTACAGCCGAAAAACGACGACCGACAGCCAACGAAACGCTAACCGAACATGAGACCGTTAAAATCGACCGATGTGGATAAAAATATCGAAAAGCGACGGTTGGTGGACAAATTACACGCACCGGCGAGAAGAAATTTTCCCCGCAGACACGTCATAGTGCGAGGGTACGACGACCTGTGGCAAGCTGATATCGTCGAGATGCGTCCGTACTCGTGTTTCAACGGAGGCTACCACTACATACTCACTGTAGAAACGCTCAACCAACTACCCGTCAGTATCTCTTTTCTACGGTATAAGGGCGGCGAATAACCAGCGTAAATAATTTCGACAGTAGCTACTGATAAAAGACGTTTATTATATTCGTAACAAAACGTGGCAGAGAGATCGACTCGACTAATCAAAGACAGAGAGACGCGCGCGCTCACGCGAGAACCAGGCGCTGCACAATCATAGATCAGTAAAATTAAAGAACGGCCATCCGGCCTGATGGTTTTAGGAACACAGTAACTAAAATCCCTCTGGAATTAGATTCAATTCTCAACATCCTCCCACCTCTTTTGAGGAAGCAAAAGAATAACTAAACGTAAACAAACACAAACACGGAAAGAATATAAAGTCAATATTAGAACCCTTACAAACGATTGTCGATTTCCGCTTTCAATAGGTAAATCTAAGAGGTTTCCGTATTTGACGTCCAGTTTGCGTTATTACAGTAGACTCTTTCTTCCGGTCGTCCCTGATCACCTCAGCTGTTTCTTTCTTCCGGTCGCCCTTGTGTGTGATCACCTCAACTGCGTCTTTCTTCCGGTGGCTCCTGATCACCTCCGCTGTTTCTTCGGGTTTGGCTGTAGGTGCAAGATCGTCTCCCTCTAATATTACAGGATCAGCCTCCAACAAATATAAGCGCTGGATAGGTCGAATCAGCTCTCCAGAGTTGAGCTTCAATTGGGCTAGTCGCGGTATTCCATCTCTTCCGGGTAACAGCTTCAAAACTCTACCTAGCGGCCACAGTAGGTAAGCTATGGGAGTTCTACCCCAGGGGCTCCGAGGGGGGGGTGAGGAGCGGGGGGTACCGCGGGGAGAGGTTTTCGGGCGCCGCGAGGAGAGGGGGGTACCGCGTTTTCGGGCGCCGCGGGGTGAGGGGGGGTACAGCGTTTACGAGCGTCGCGGGGAGAGGGAGGGGGTACAGCGTCTTTGTGCACCGCGGGGTGAGGGGGGTACCGCGTTTTCCGGTGCGGCGGGGGCGGGCGGACCGCATTTTCCGGCGGTTTACCGCGTTTTCCAGCGCCGCGAAAGACCGCGTTTCGGGCGCCGCGGGGAAGGGGTCGGTCCGCGTCACACGGCGCGCTCCCGCTCGCGTCATCTCCCCCTCCCTCTCGCGCCCGCGGCCCTGTTCGCGCGCGGTCCCTCCCTCTCGCGCCCGCGGCCTTGTTCGCGTTCTTTCGCGCCCGCGGCCCTGTTCGCGCACGATGTCTCTCTCTGTTCACCTCTTCTTACCTATCCTCTCTCACTTGCATCATCATATCTCACTTGCTATCCCCATCATTCGCCTATCTATTCGCGTATTATTTGTCTCCCGCTCGCGGTCATTCCTCTTCGTAGCTCATATTCATGTCCTCTCTTAACAGTATCTTAATTCTCGAATAATTCTCATTAATTTATTTAAATAAACCTGAGGACAATATCGCAGCGTAATTCTAATGACATAGAATAGGAGGAACGATAAACGAAAAGGAAAAATAATTTAAATTTTTTTTTACTATAATATACTTATTTATTTGTCATGTAGCGCATTATACACAATAGTATCTAAAGCGTAGGCTAATAATTCACAATCAATAATTGAATTTTCATCATAAATTTCACGCAAAATATTTGCCGCATTACATTTGTCGATGATACATTTCCGCCGTAAAATAGTTACAAATTGATTAAATTTCATATTTACTTCATGCGTATTTTGATACAGCTTGAAATATTCATGTTTGACACATTGTCCGAGCTCGAATATGAAAAGCATAGTTGACGGTTTCATGTACAAGCTGGTGTTGCACGATGTCAATTTTACAACACTCGCATCGCGCATTTTTACGAGTTCTATAACAGCATCGTGAATCGATAACGAAGAACCGATAGTTGACTCCAAAAGTTGTTCAATATCCATACGTCTTTCGATGAGCGCCGTCCACGTCGCATGGGGTAACACTATCTGATTTCCTCGATTATCGCCAATAAGTATATCCACAAAGGACATAGGTCCCACGTTGATTCCCACATCCAAATATTTGTAAGCTGTAGATGTCAAGGCAAATCTCCTTCCCAAAATACGTGGCATACAACGGGGTTTATCAAAACTAAAAAAATACAAATAAATAAGCAGAGGTATGTAAACAGTTTATCCACAATTATATACAAAATAACGGTACTTACTCATTATGCTGTTTCGTACACGACTCATTTTCAATCGGAACGTAATAATTCGCACCGTGAGTGTTCATCGTATCTGGAGAGTGTTTGCGACGTACTCGAACCGTATCAAACTCTTGACTGCGCTCTAGAATCCTCGTAGACCATTTATACATACCGAAAACTGCAAATCTTGCAAAAATAGCGCCAATGCACGACGGCTGCATGGTGACCACCACCACAATCCACATATACGTTAAATGTGATATCTTTGTCAAGAACATTCGTGATGAGATCACCTCATCGGGCATCAAATATGATTTCTTTTCAAGAACATATGTGTCTCGCGATGATTTCATCGAACACGTGCAAAACTGCAAATTTTGCAATTTCGCATAAGTCAATGACATGGTATCTTTTTTCAAGAACATGTCGCAACGCGTCTCGCGATGATTTCATCGAACACGTGCAAAACTGCAAATCTTGCAATTTTTCGGTTAGCGCAAATGTACGGATGCTGAGATCACGGTGAAATTAGATATGCTAAAAAATCAAACGATGCATCATTAGTGAGATATAAAATGACGAATCTGGGGGTACGCTCAGTAGTCGAGAATTGAAAGTCGTGAGCACAACAAATTGTGTTAGAAAGAGGATCGTGTAATAACATGGAGCAAGAGTTGTTAGAGCAATCCACCCTATTAAATTCGCGGGAAGAATTTACCGCGTGGGAGCAACGATGTGACGAATTTATCGAATCGTTGGAAGAACAAAGCCGAATTAAACGGCGGCGATTATC